GGACCTTTGGGATTGGAGAAAGTATCCAATGAAAATATTCCTCTTCATATGTAATAAAGCTGTTGCAAAAATCACAGACCTGAGATAGGGTTCTTATTGAACCTTGTTGACCCATAAATCTTACATGTATGATTATCTTCAAAACCCCATGGAAGTCCAACTGAAGGTGGCAATTAGTAGGAAATAAATCTTTAATTTATTAATTTACCAATCATAACTAATATTTTGTATAATAATTTATGTGTTTGAGATAGTGGGCATATAAATGTAATAAATAAATAAAATACTGATTATATTAAAGCGTTCCTGTCTGGAAGATGTTAATATATCGGTATTTTTTGTATCATACTTAACCCCATTTCCCATAAATAGACATATATGCCTATAGAATCTGACTAGTTCGAATCTGACAGTATGAGTAAATTGTTGTTTCAATGGGCTCAAAGGGGAAAAAATAGAAAGGAGTAATTTATTTCCATTCCTAGTCTGATAAGAGTTCTTTCAAATATGGCTTATTTAAAAGTGTTCGTAGAGTAGTTTGTGCAGAATGTATGAAACAACAATGTCTCTTTGTCTAAGCAGCTGCCAATTCATTTGCTATGTAATGAGAACATTCATGTTTCTCTAATTGCTACCATTTGGACTTGTTTGTTATTTTTTAAGATAGCTTTTCTGACATTACTGACCAGGACTTTGAAAGTGACATTTGAAAGTCTTTGATGCGGTACACAACCAAGAATTAAAAGAAAATTGTGCTTCAGAGCTTATAGACATGGTTAAAATAATAAAATAATCACAGCATACCTAAAGCCATACTCAGTCTTGCTTAATATTATAGAGACAATTTTTCCATGTAGTTGAAGGCCAGGTTATTAGCAAAACCAGTGAACCTTGAAACTAGAAAAATAAAAATCACGAGGTACATTGAAGTCATAAAATGAGATATCCTGTAAACATATGAGCATCTTGCACTTTCTGTAATTGGATTTGTTTTTTATGACTTTTTTGTTATTGTTATATGGAAGTTTCACCAAAGTCACATATCACAGAATGAATATGAACTAAAATTCCAGCTGTAATGAAATGGCTGCTAGTCTATTGGCAGCTTTGTGCATGGTCATGTCCTACAGCAAAAGTAAGTCCAGCTTTTTACCTGAGAATGCAGGCCGACCAGCCATGGAGCAGCCATTGAATCAATATAAATAATATTAAATAAACTATAAGAGAAGGAGGAATGTTTTTCCAGCATTTATACCAGGAAAGGCTTGGGTGAAGAGGTTGTCTTGCAGCGAGATAGGTGGCAAGCTAATTTAAGAAAACTTAATGTTAAACTAATTAAATAAATAAATAACTACAGTGGTTCACTTAACTGTGACAAGAAAGATTGTAAAATGGAGCAAAGCTCGCTTAACCAATGTCTCACTTAGCAACTGACATTTTGGACTTAATTGTGGCCATAAATCAAGGACTACCTGTACTTCTTTTGGGTGATCAAAGAGAGTGACAAAAGTGACAGAATTCTCCATCCTCAACCAGGATTCCTGCTTGTGTCTACTGCGTGCACTCTGGAGCAGAAAATCTTTTAAGGGGCAAGAGATTGGGGAGAGAGGTGGGAAAGGTTTATATTCTGAAGGTCCAATTACTTCTGAAAAATGATGGGAAGTTGGAGGGTTACTGGAATCATTGGCAAGTCAACTTGATTTCTCAGAAAAAAAAACAAGTGAAATGCGATTACTAAAAAAAAAGGCAGATGTTTTAAATAGGAAATTCCATCCTTTGACCATCTGGCAATCTCCCATGCCAGATGAAAACTGCTTGAATTTTTAGCCAGCCAGCAATGTTGGCTGAAAAACCTGGTAGCAGTAATCCCAGCATGATGGGTAAGTGCCAAATTGGAGAAAAAGTAGACCATTATATGCCTTTAAGTATATCAGTTATGTTGGACTTTATGTTTCTGTTAGGACCTTGATCAAGGGAAAGTGTTTCCGATGACGGACTAATCTCTGCAGCTCTTCAGTAACATAAAGCTTGTGGGATAACTTTGCTGAAGCAAACAACTCTGTCCTTTGTCCTAGCCATGGCACCCAAATAAAAGATGGTACATGTGCATTACTGCACAGTTCTTCATGGCTGCCTCTTCTAATTACATTGAAGTCCTGTAGATAAACTGTTGGTGCTTGCAATGGCCTTCCACACGGTGTCTCAATTAGCAATAGAAATGCCTGTCTTTCTATGTTTATCTAATAATAACTAGAGCTAAATATGTGAAATATTTCATATAGTCCACAACCTGTCTGTATTTTCTGGGTACTCTTTTGAAGGATAAGATTTTTCAATCTACATTTTTATTTTCTTTACCTGTTGAAATTTAGGAAGTTAGCAACAATTGAACTACTGAGGAAATGCTTATAATTAAATTACCTACAGTGTTATTCTTTAGATTGTTGTTAAATTTGGAACAACTGAATTCTGATTGCAAAGTCAGGTCATGACCATTCAGAAGTTGTGAAGTTAATTCTAGAGAATCTATTAGAAAAGGAAACATCCAGTTCTATAAGCTATTGAGTATCTTTTTGATTGTGGCAAGGTAGAAATACGTTTAATAAAATAAAAGTTCCCTACAATGGTAGAGTGAGTATTTCTAGGTAGGCTTCTGGGTGGAAATTAAGAATTCTGTTAGCAATTAGAAAAGTAAAAAATTATCCAATAGTGTGCAGGTTTAAGTTACAGAAATTTTAAATTAAATTTTAAAAAAAAACTTCCAGAAAGTAAGAGCCATTGGGCAATAAAATTAATTAGCAAGGAATGTTGCAAACTCCACTTTACTAAATGTTTTCAAACAAAAGTCAGACAGAAATAGTCTAATTTGGATTTCTACTCTGCATATATGAATGGACTTGGTGAGCTTATTATAGTCCTTTCTGTCCCCAATTCTGAATTCTGGAAAGTTTTTTTATAATCAGATGAACTATTGTTAAGTTTTACCCCTAAGGGTTTTTAAAATTATTTTATTGGGTGCCCTTGTGGGGGATATCAACAGAGATATTTATATCCATGGAAGGTTACTATTTTTCTCTTGTTTATTTTAGTTCAATCCTCCACAGCCAGGTGTCTTCCAACTCTGTTGAAAGAATTCTTGTTACGATTCTGGATGTAAATTCTGTGTCTAAAATCTCAACACATCTGAAACACACCAGTTTCCTAAAAGCTGCTTTATTTCAACAAAACAAGAACAAGAACTATAAGTGTTACTTCAGGCTGATTGTTACCAAAACATATAATGGAGGCCGATTTATCTTCACAAAACAGGAAAGTTAATCTTTGGATTAACTTACTTCAGTGAACACTTCAAGGAGGAAACCTAACAATATAAATGACCTGTTAGATCTTCTATAAAAAAAGCTTTCTTATTTCATAAAGCCTACCCTCTAATTGTACTTTCTTTGCCCATACCTTTCTCCCACATAAATTACCAGTTACCTTACAATATCAGTATTATTTTGGTGTATGTATTGCTTGCTGGTCTCATTCTGTTGAACTTCATTTATTCCCTGCTAGAATGACAAAACTTTTATAAAACATCATCAGATTCAAAAGCCAAGCTGACTTTGGATTCTGACATAGTAAAAAAAAAAGCTATGCAAATGAACTTAAAACTACAAAAATATTAAACAATATTTTGAGCTGAATACTTTTTTATAATGCTTATATCATTTATTTAATTCAAAGCATTTAATGAAGAGTTGCTCTATGTTATTATTAACATCAGTTAAAAATAATGCAGCATATTCATCATACTAATGTGCAATAAACAATGAATCTTGCACAGTAACAATTAGATTATTATAACTTGTGTTATTCATTTCATTTACATGAATCATGATGGATGTTTCTGATATTTCCACATTATCAGACTAATTCTGCGGGAATTTCATACCAATTTATCATTTAGAGCATGTGTTATTATTTCAGCAAAAATTCTGAAATAAATATATAGACTTAAAAGGGGAGTATCCCAGTGCAGAAGCCAATCTCATAAGAAAATATTGGACAAGTATTGTCCTGAAATGTTATAGATAGTTTACTTTTAATAAATGTTCCCTTCTCCCCCTATTAAAATGTTATGTTATTTCTTTATGATTTATTTCCACTCTGAAGCCAGAAAAAAACATGCTGTGAAAAAGTGTGTAGGAGCCGATAACTTAATGTTAAAGTTTCTTTTATTAGACAATAACTTACTTGAATCAAATGAAATATAACCTATTCTTTCTGGAACAGGTCTTTCCCTGTGAAATAACTTTAGTGGAATTGCAAGGCAGAGTCTGTTCACAACCATTTCCAAATTAAGAATATGAAAATATGAATAATGGTAGAAACATTCATTTATGAATCCTGTTGTCCAGTTCCTACATCAAACTACAAACTAAGCCTTATGTGCACTTATAAACTACATTATTTAATATATTGCATTTTATTCCAATTTAGATTTTTCACTTGGCTGAATCACGTTAGTTTAATTAGAAATAAAATTTGGTATATCAAAAACTGAAGTATGATAGATCTGGGCTCTTTGTATACATGAGACTAACCCCAAAAGAAAGTCTACTGATATTTCAAATGGATATTATTTGGAATGTTTAGAATTGTGTAACCCAAGTGAGCAAGAAAAAAAGATTACAAATTGTCAAGAGCTTCCTTGATTGTATTAAGGAGCTCCTTGAACAGTTCTGAGAGAGAAGACCAAGCCGCTTTAAGGTGCTGTGTTTCTATGCTCAAAAAATGCTTTTGGAGACTAATCTAAAGCATTGCACAGCCTCATTATCTAATAACGTCTTGACAATGTATCTTTTTAAAGTTAATAGGAATTTCTTGTATCCTCACTGCTTTTTGAGCACTATAGATCGATATTGAAGTGCTATCCCTGTTCTGTAATTACACTGATGTCTTGATGTCTTAATTATTGAATCCTTACACTCTGTCCCTTCTGTATCTTTCTGCAGGATGGGTCACTGGGCAATATTGATGATCTGGCTCAACAGTATGCAGATTACTATAATACCTGTTTTACTGATGTATGTGAAAGGATGGAAGAACTGCGTAAACGAAGGGTATCTCAAGACCTTGATATGGTAAGATGATGAGGAAGACTACTCATTTGCAAACTAAACCATTTTAGGATTTCAGGAATGTCCCTGCAACAACAACCCTGAAAGAGAGTGATTGCCTCAAAGTCACCCAGCCAGTCATGGCTAAGACAAGACCGAAATTCTTGAGTTCTAGTCACCAAGTGATTCTCCATCCATTCTGTCCCAGGCCCAAATCTGTATTAGAAAAGGATTGATATAACCTGAACAATAAATTACTGGAATTAAACAGAGGAATTCACAATCTTGGACAGTCTCCTAGTTTCTTTTGGCAGCTCACACTGATATCCAGGCAGATCAAGACTTGTATCAAGCTATCCTTTGAAACAAATTGATCTACAGGGGATTGAAGGTCAGTCCATTAGAAATGCTGCTATCTCAGCTTCCCCCAATATTAACATCTTCCTGTAAAGCTGTCATATAGTCCCCCATGTCCTTATATCTCCGTTAAAGATGTAAGTTAGCATCTTTGGGCTGGAGAAAAGTTCTCAATAAAGTCTAGGTCTCTCTATGCAAGAATTCTACCTCAGGGATAGCTCTGGGGGGAAAAGGGTCTGGCTCAGAAGATTCAAATTTAATGAAGGCTCCTTTTCTACAGTGGAGATAGGACAGGCCTCTCAAACTGGTGATTTGTGGACCGGATACGGCCTGCATAAGCCATGCCCATCCCTGCTCTGCAAAGGCAAAAATGTCCCGATATGTCCTGCGATGCAATCGGGTTTGACATCCCTGAGATAGGACAGCCAGCCCACCAAGGTATTATCAGAAAAAATGATTGGGGACCATGTCAGTATTTGCAATCTTAAAAGCATATCTCTCCTGCCTTCCAGCCTTTTCAAAAGTTTTATCTTTGAGTGTTCTTTCTCACTTGTTATTCTTGAACATAGGGAAGAGTATTCTTCCCTCTTACAGGAATCATAATCAGGATTTTTTCTATTCTGGCCTCCAGAATGACCACTTCAGAATGTTCAACCTCTGATGTAGAAAAAGGATTTTTGGGATAAGTCCATGCTCTAATGGACTTTGGCAGAAAAAATAATAAATTTTGAAGCTTAATTTCTAATCCATACTAAGTTAAACTCAAATTGAATGGTACAATTTAGTTCAATGGTAATTGTAAGACAGTAGAGCAAAGGAGCATTACCAATCAGAACAATAGTAGAACAAGATTTATGTGTGGGCCCTTTATGCGTGTTTTCAATTGCTCTCTCAGATAAAGCGGACGGTCTAACTTAACTCTCCTGAATTGAGCATCTTATTTATTTTGTTGCTCTGAAAGAGAGCGCAGCATTGTTATAAAACACCATCCGTGTGACAGGCCTTTAACTGTTACTTGAATCATAGCCTCATTCCTTGTTGACTTGCTTATACAAATTTACTTTTACAAATGGACACTATATAAGATGCAAGATCTGAGCAAACCTGCTTGGCCTTAGCCAATTTTTTTTTTAACTTCCAGGGCAAATAGCACTCTTTGTCATCTCTCACACAGCTGGGAAACTGTTTTTTTAGGAAGATGCAAAACTAATCTGCACATGAAATCTATAGCACCATATGGTTCAGATTTCTAATAATAAAAAAAATAAAAGGAATATGAAGGACTAAGCCAGAACCTATTATTAAAACAAGAACTTTGTATATTTGCATATTAAATTAATAATCTCTTTTTAAAATAGCCCTGAAATACTTAAAGTGCTTTTTCCTCCATGAAAACAATTCATTTACTTTCTTCAGAGGTGGAGAAAGTCCCATATCCTCTTGGTAGAGCCATAATTTATACCAAAGCCCTCATTTGTTGAGTTCAACAAATAAACAAAAGGCTGGCTCTTTCTATTAAAAGAATGTAATTAAAAGCCTACTCACTGGCAGGCTGTTATGTTGTCTAAATAACTAGTTGTAGCATGCAGGGAGACTCCGTCACTATTACAGAATCACTGTAAACCTCACATTAGGCAACTCCCCTACCCCAAAGCTTAAGCTCAAAAGTTTTATTGATTTTAGTGCAGCAAGCCCCAACTTGGATGACCCCAAATATGCCAGGCAGAACTGGTAGATTGGTGGTCAGTTTTGAGGGTTGTAATCGAAACTTTTGAAGAATTCTAGTTTGGGATAAATTGATCTAATTCAGAGATGAAAGACCTCTTTCTGTATCCAAATGGAAGATGCAGCCGTTCTGTCTTATCTTCCCAACCTGCCATGCAATGGCCACTTCAGATAATACCTCTTACTGATGATGTTATTTGCCTCCCAGGCATGTAAGGCATGCCCTAGCAATTTCGTTGGTGTTAATGTAGCCTATTTTATGGATAGAGAACTCCCTTCAATTTAGCCAGATGGGTGTAATTTGCCTCACATCATTGTTCAGCTGAACAGGTGGAAAAAGCCCTGTGAGTTGAATTAGTGGACATCAAAGATGGAAAGCAATTAGATATTTGGACCTTAACAAATGCAAGCCAGAATGATTGAGAGCGTGGGGAAAGAGTGATTAGAAGAAAAAGATAGCAGGTGCTAGTACACCCACAGTATATTATGTGTCAAGTATTTCAAGCAGACATTCAACCAGGCTATCTATGTTCAAAGCAAAATCTGCATAATTCAAAAGAAACATCCTCACTCTTATTTTTATCAGTGTTCCTGAACTTTGTTATCTATGTTTGCTCTACATAGTCTTGCAGTGCGAGGTAGGTAAAACTTTAGCCCCAGTGAAGAGACTTTCCATCATTCCATCTCTTCCAGAGCAATGCCTCTGATCCCAGTGCGTTCCAGCAAACCTCCATTCCAATCAATAACTCTGAGACAAGCATATCTCAAAGGCACCTTTATTTGGATAGTAAACTGGCACATCTATGGAATCCCGAATCTGAAAGTTTTCAGGCTTCCTTCAATATTCAGACTACAAATCCAACCCCCCCCTTGGCCGTCATCACATTACATGGCCCAATCACGATCCGTCCTAAAGTAAGATTATTATTTCATTCTGCGCCATACTCACTGACCTTGATTAACCAAAGAATTTTATTTTGTCTTCTTAGAGCTACTCAATGGAAACCCCACTTCTCCCACTTTCTCAGGCTTGTGGCAGCATCGACTCTCAAAATGACTTCCAAAACTGACATCCAGTCTTCTCCTTTATTCTATATCACTGGTGGTATTCAGGTGGTTCACACAGGTTCAGTTGAACCGGTAGCAAGGATTTGGTGTGGGTCGCCGAACCAGTAGTAATTGCTGGCTGGCCACACCTCCAGCCTGCTCGCCACTCACTTGCCCCAATGCCTGATGCTCACTGACTCCCTCCACCCGATGCTCGCCCGCCCAGTCACTCCTTAAGGTATTTCTTTTTTTTTTTAACCTCCCAATAATCAGGTGTTTCTCCCCTCGCTTCTTACTACTTCACCCAGGAGGCTCCCTGAGGCCCACAAAGGCAAAGAATGGAGGGAGGGGACACAACCCCCCCTCCCATTTTTTGCCTTCCTAGGCCCCAGGGAAGGTTCCTGGGAGCAAAAACACCCCCCATAAAGGTTTCTCCAAAGCCAGGAAGGCCCCATAATGGAGTGTGGAGGGGTGCTGCATGCCCCTCCTATGGTCCTTTTTTTTTTCTTCCTGAGCCCCAGGGGAGCCTTCTAGGAGCAAAAATGCCCTCCTTGGAGGCTGAGGCCAGGAAGGCCCAAAAACGTGGGTGTGGGGGGGTGCTGCAAAAAAATGCGCACCCACCCAATCACATGGCCGTGCCCGCTTAGCACGCTCACAGAACCAATAGTAAAAAAAATTGAATCCCACCACTGTTCTGTATGTATGGATTTAATACATTTGCATGCGGTCAATTATATTCATTTAATATAACCCATTTGTTACCTGGACTATTAGATGAACATTGCACAAGAGACATGGAAGCTGGTATAATTCTCCAGTCTGGTCGCTGGAATTTATATTTGTGGGTTTTATACCTATACAACATCTTGTTCATAATATCCTAAAGAAAGTTCTTTGGCACTAACTTTGTCTTTCTTCCCCACATGTATTATCTAAACATAAGGCAACTTCCATTTGTCCCCACCTCTCTTCTGAAGACTGCAGAAGTAGCATCCTTAGGCTTCTTTTGGACATGATCTTATCATGACAACTCAGACTTTCTTTGCTTCAGAGACTCATGTGTTGGGTGTGATCATTGAACTGAATGGCCCCAAGAGCCATATTTGAAAAACAACAGTGCTGCATAAATTTCCTTCTACTATCAGACAGCAGCCTCTGTGTTTGATTTGTTTGGACAAAGAAGGTGGTACAACTCTGCCCCAGTGCCAATGTTTATTAAGGAAGGCTGTTGTAGTAGATCCACCCATTTTAGCACTTCTGTAAAAGCAATTTCTCAGCTGTCTTGCAGCTAAATGAGTAAAAAGTTATTTTATAATACTCTATTTGTTCTAGGTTCCAGTCATACAGAGCCAAGGTACTCATCCATATCAAAACTTACTCGTACAAGGAGTCAAACTAACATTAATCAAGCTAATTGATCAGTGTCAAATTTGAAACATATATTATCCTTTTAAGTTTTGTACAACTGACAGTAACAAGCATTTTTCCTAGTTGCTTTCCTCATCCAATACCTGGCAAGGCTTTCAGAAATTAGACCATCTGAGCACAGCAACTTAAACCTCTTCTGAGAATGAGGGTGGGTGTATCAACGTGGCATCATGGTTAAGATGTGGAGTGCTACTAAAGAGACAGTTCTAGTCTAAACTCAACCATTGTGAACTTTTGGGCCAATGGTTTTCTCTCAGCTCAAACTATCTTGTGTTGTTGCTGTTGTGGGAAATAAATGGAGAAAAGTTGGGGTATGAATCCAGTAAACAAAGTAAGTAAGCAATACGTTGCTGCTGCTGTTGCTTCTTTGTTATCTTCATGAAATGGGGTTGACTTCTGTGAGACTGACTAGCATAACTGCCTGCAGAGTCTGCAAAGTCAGATGGATATGCTATATGTTGTTAGCC